ATATTATAATCATAATAGTTCCTTTATAATTCAGACTCCAGGGGATACGAATAACTTATTGAACAAGTATTGGCTCCAGTATGATATTGAGAAAAAATAGAAGAGGTAGGGCTCAGGGGAAAGGCTTTGAAAATATTACAAGATGGTTTTAAAACTGTCCTTTTAAAACTCCATTTGAACTCCATTTTGACTGGAGTTAGAAAGGCTATATGATACAGGCATGGAAGATTGGATGCAATGTTCTTACTAAAAGATAACACGTTTAAGCATTACTGGTTAGACGTGTTTATTTCCTTTAAAAAACCTTAGTCTCATGGGATGACAGGTGACACTGCTCTAGTAATGTGGTTCTCCCATGACAGTTCACTGCTGATACTTTTTTAGATTTAGATAAAGTTTTTTTTGTTTGTTTGTTTGTTTTGTTTTGTTTTGTTTTTTTTAAATCACCCAAGAAAATCTCAGGTCTCCACACTTCCTTTTTTAATGAGAATGATGCAAGTATGTGCCATTAAACACAGATAAAGTTAACATGCCTCCTCACCGTGCTCCACTAACAGTTGGAAGCTTTATGCTTCCTATTTCACAAAGCGGACGTGTGGTTTTCTTTTTTGAGCTCATGGCATGAACTAAGCTTAAGCTCTTCCTCTACAAAGATAATAGAGATGATACTTCCTGTGCCGTCAATTCCTGCTGCTGGCGGTGGGTAAGAAGGTAGGCATGTATCTTCCCACCATTCCTTCACCTGGGGACCAAGCAAGATAGTATAGGATTCTTTTGAAAAGCATAATGTAGTCTACCTATATTATGCAATAGAGTTTAGCTATCACAAAGGCTCAAAAAGCAGAGGCAGCAGAATGTTCTGTAAGTATCACCAGACTCCTTGCACAGCTCTGGGCTCCACTTTTCACTCTGAAACTCACTAGTGTGACCTTGGACGAGTGCCCTGACCTTTCTAGGCCTCAGCTGTCACTTCTGCAAAAGAGGAGAATAAAGTACTACCAAACAAGGTGACTGTGTGGATGAAGGGAAGTTCTTAGCATGGCAGCCGACACACAGTAATGCTCCCTGTAAGCTACTCATTCCAATTTTTATCCAGAAGGAGGACCAATAAGGACTAGAAATGTGATCACATAAGTCATGCACAGAGCTGTGCATACTTCCCCTCATACTTACCCCTTGCCCCTGAACTCGGCAATGACCGAGCCCTCAGGGGCTATCTCTGCAGGGTTGCATATGAACTGCTTGCATGTATAACTTGTACAACCTCCCAACACATCTCTCACGATACATGAGGCAGGAGCTCTAGAAATACCAGCTCTCAACTCCCCAAGCCCAAAGTGAAGAAAGCACAAAACAGTACATAAGACTGTCAATGATCTTCATTCACTATCCATGTTAAAATTAGTTTACATTTCTTTTACACTTATCTTCTGATGGACATCAGAAGAAAATTATTCAGAGATTTAAAAGTGACACAGATAAGCCACTAAATAGATAACAGGTAACACAGATGGGAAATAAAACAACTATATGGATTATTCCGAGGAGTTAGTGAATAATAAATCATGGACCTCTTTCAAGTCGCAAAAGTGATCAGGGGAGACTTTTACTAAAGAATAACCCAGAGTAGGGAAACACTTGAAATAAACTATTAATTGAGCAAAGAGGATTATCTGTTCTCTGAAAAGGAGGGTTGAAGTTGAGACAGAAGGTATTCAGAGAGATGTGAGATGACTTGGTTGGTAGCAGGGGCTCTTCTGTGCACTTTGCAACTATGGTATTGTGTCCCCAGATGCATGGGGGCAGCCTACAGGAAGCTTACTTTTGGAGAGGTTTTTTTTTTTTTTTTTTGTTGTTTTTTTTTTTTTTTTTTTTCCCCAAGCCAACTTTGAGCATCTGTATTGAAGTACCTTTCAGTCTTAGCATACATTAGCTAAGAGCTTTCATTAAACATTAAATCAGTCTGTTATTTAAATTAAATCAGACTGTGAGCAGTCTGTGGTCTATTTGCCCTATACAGCAATTAAGATTTTAATCTCTAGAAACAAGACTTACAAAAGGCCAGAGCACTATCTAGTATTTGGGTGATAACCTGAGAGAGCCACAGAAATACCATGGCCTCTCAATTATTCCCAACCTCCAAACCCAGGTGAGACGTCTAACAAGCTTCGGAAACCTTAAAGGAAGTACTACTCACACAGGATCCCAAAATCTGCTTCCCAGGATATGCAGTACTAAGGCTTGAAGGGAGCATGCTTATTTAATGAAAAGGATAAATGATTTCTATTTCTGAACACGCAGTTTAATATGAGGCAAAGTGCAAGGCCTCTCTCTGCCCAAGGGAGTTCTCCAGCTGGGACTGAACTCATTCAGGGATGATGCTCTTCGTGGACTGATTACCACTGCTGTGGTGGTTTCCTTGACTATGTAGATTGCTGCAGCTACACGTGCGGGCAGGAAACCAAATGGAGAACACTACACTCCAGTGTAAACTCTAACATCATACCAATTTTTCTGTTTTTGACTCTCTGAATATATGAATAGAAAAACAACAAGCAACAGAATCCACATCTAATTGAAAGACTTGGCACCTCTACCACACACTAGGAGTTATGGAAGCATGGGCAAGTTATTTAACAATAAGGATCATTTCTGTTGTGGGTGCTGTTAAGCACCTTGCATACTTTAATCTTTAAGCTTAGATTTCTTCACGTGTAAATTGAGGATAATAATGCACGACTACATTCCCAAGGCGAGGCAGCAGGGTCAAAAACAGCACAGCTTCAGCACAGACAGACAGGGGTTAAAATGCCAGCTCTAATTTCTATTTCATCTCATTAAGCTTCCATTTTCTCATCTCTAAAGTACAGATGAAGCCACCTACCTCAAAGGACTGTGGTGAGGAATTCAGCAAGACAGTGTTAAACACCAGTTGGTATCTCTATCGCTAGGCAGTGCCCAATAAATGTTTATGCCCTCTCTCCTATTAGACACATGAACTGCTTCTGTTAACATTCATCAGCAGCAAGTCAATGTCCATAGTATCCAAAGATGCATTTCCTTTCGTAACAATGAAAATTTTTCCCCAGAACAAGCTTAATATGCCAGATACTGTCCCAACAGCTTTACGTCTATGAGCTCATTTAATCCTTATCACAGTTCAGTGGGGTAGGTACTACTACTGTCATCCCCATTGTACAGATGCAGACACTGGGACACAGACCTTGGGTAACGCGCCTAGATTCAAACAGATGGTACCAGAGCTGGCAGCCCGGCTCCACAGCCTGTTCTCTTAACCAGGATACAATAATGCTTACTGAGTCTATCTGTTTGAGACTCCATGCTTGGATGTAATCTCTTCTAGAGATAAGCACTGGATGCTTTCACAAACTGCAATGCGTTGATGTGACTAACTTTTCAACTTCTGAAATAACATTTTATGTATTTTCTTAGAATTCCTAAAAAAAAAAAACTCTCTACATTTTAAATAAGGTGCCTATAACTAGTTCATCTTGTTCTGTATGCTGAAATACCATAAATAAATGCACTTCTCTCTCTAAAGACTATGTAAATAAATCTTACATTAAAACACACCCCTGAGCTTTGGTTTAAACAGTAACTTCCAAGTCCAAATTAAACATATATGTATGTGTATACATATTTAGCAGGGAAGTCTTGATATAATCTATTTTGTTAAACTAATGACATCTATAACCAATACTCTAAATATTCCTCTTATTTATAATATTCACTGTGTAATAGGCACACAACAGTACTGCATGGTATTTCAAAGTACTATTCCTTTTACAAGTTTAATCAACTCAGGTTTTAAACATCAATGATGATAATCCATTGCTCTGCTTTAAAGGAATCTCTTGTGGACAGCTGAGAAAGAAAGGTTAAAGATTTCTATCCTTCAAAGTAGGGCACTGCAGATACCTACTAATCATGCTCTTTGTTTATTAAGATAATTAGGACCATCAGTACACTTAACTTTCAGACTCAACAATTGTCTGGCATAAACAATTTCCACTTTTTCTAAAACAAAGGGGATGTGTTCAAAAAGCGGTCCTCTGCATGCTCTCCGCACAATGCATGCTATTTTAAAACATGATTTATGGGTCTAATTCCTGGAGCTGCCTTGAAAAATATACTGGGTTGTTCCTCCCCTGCTCCCTATCAGGAGAAGACACTCCAATTTGAAGAGTGCACTCTGTTCAGACCACAGGCCGCTATATCATGTCAGCATTTTCATTAAATACTGTTCAAGCTGGACTTTAAACAAATGGAATGGAGAGCCACAGCTGCAGCCACTGCAGACAAAGTTATCCAGCCTGGAGGCTTACATAAGAGGTGCAGGACAATCAGGGTGAAAACCAAGTGTCATCATTTGAGTCCTATTTCTAGAGACTTGCCCACATTCTTAAAGTCTATGAAATCACACGCACAGAGCTTGTTTTATTTGCCTTAGGGCATAAAACACCGAGTCGACGTATAGGTTGTTTATTCCCTAAAGGACTGGGCTCCAATTATGAAAAGGTTAGCAACTTCTGCCTAGGGGAAGAGAAAAGTGGGATGCGCGGGAAGCCTGCAGGCCTGAAAGGAATGGCTCGCCCACAGATCCATCGCAGTGCTGGCTACACTCCCCAGAGGTCTTAGGATGGAGGTGACAAGACCCTGCCCAGCCCCTTCACCCCAACGTACACACAGAGACAAGGAGCTCAGACTGAATAATTAGCAAGCGGCCGGCGAAACGCCCTAGGACACCTGTCGTCTCCCAATACATCTCCAACTGGCACATTCGTAAGACGCTGTGGCCAGCCAGCCCCTGGACTCCAGACTCTCCCGCTGCCTTGTTCCCTTCTTGGCACCCGGCACTCCCTCCTCAAGCTGGAACTCTGCTAACAAGAGGTACCACTCTCGGCTTCCCACAAGAAGATAAAAAAAGAACCTCTCCTTTCCACGATTCCCTCCAACTTCAGAAACTACAGTCAACTTACTGGGACTCAGGAGGCAGGGAGTCTTCTTGGGGGACCGCGCTCGGAGGCAGCCTCTGCAAACTCCGGCGCGCAGCACCGCCGCCCCGGCACAGCCCGGCGGCAGCGGCGAGTGCAGGAGCAGGCGCCGCCGCTCTGCACCAGCTGCCTCGGCTCAGCCGTGCCGGGCGCCGGGCATTCGCCAGGGCACAGGACTCGTTGAGGCCGCGGCGGCGACTGAGGCTGCTGCACCCGGCCGCGCGGACCCGAGCGCTGCAGCTGCCTCCAGCCCCGGAGCGCGGCGCTCCGAGCCCCTGGTGCGTGTCTCTGGCCCCAAGCGAATCACGGCTCAACGAGAGACCCGGCGCGAGAAAAGCTGCTGCGCTGCCGCAGGCAGAGCCGCCAGCCCGCCCCCAGTCGGTCGGTCACATCGCGGGCGCGCAGACGGACGAGCAAGCGGCCGAGTACCGCAGTCAGCACCCGCCGCCGCGCCGCGGAGAATGACAGGCGCCGAGGCGGAGCAGCGGCGCCGCGCGCGGGGCGCCAGTGCGCATGATCGCGGTCGCAGCCGCACGTCACGCGGGAGGAGGGGCGGGCCGTGGGCGCGGGACGGGGCGAGCCGGGCGGGGCCGGGCTGCGGGTGTACGCGGGTGAGGACCGGCGCGGCGCCCGGCTTGCTCGCGGGAAGATGCAGGAAGTCACCCTCCCCGGGTTTTGGGAACCCGACGCTCTGAGGTTGAACTTGTCTCCCGAGTCCATTGTCCCTTACACAGCACTGTTTAAGCGGTCCTTAAGATCCCTGGGGAGCTCACAAAAGCCAATTTAACTCAGGTTACAGCTTAACCCTAAAGAGCTGCGATCTGGGGGACTCTTCTATTGTGGCTGTGCATTAAAATAACGCGGGGAGCTTGTAAGAGCCCTCTGCCCCAGCCGCATCCCAGAGCAATGACAGGACAATGTCTGGGTGGGGCCCAGGTATCAGTAGATACCGAAAGACACCGAGGTACAGCAGTGCTTCCCACACCCTCAGTGTGTGACACAATCTCCTGAGGATTGTGTTGAGATGCAAGATTCAGGTTCGATAGGCCTGGGATATTCAGGGGGAGATCTTTCTAACAGGCTCTCAGAGGATGCCAATACTGCAGGTCCTGACCCCCATCCTTGCTACTCAACGTGTGGTCTAGAGCCTGGGGCAGAGCTTCTGAAACGCTGGACTGTCTGACAGTCACCCAAGGGGCTAAAAAAAGTGCAGAGCAAATGGCCAGGCTGTACCCCCAGTGGTAGTGGTTCTGGTTCAGTCCCTGGGCAAAGGTGGGCTTCTAGAATTCCATTTGGCATAAGCATTCAAAATAAATCTGATAGGGGTTTTCTTTGGACCAGGCTTGAAGTTTACACTAGCAAGCTGGAATTGGGAATAGATAGACGTTTGCACTTACAAGGAGACAAGCCAAGTCTAGAACTCAGGAATTCTTCAAGCCAGGGATTCTAAACTAATGGGTTCTTTATCTTACTAGTCCCAAATTTCTACAATTATGATGCATTACTTAGCAGGAAAAAACATATATATGGTGTTAAATATACATACATACACTCTATTGAACACTTGTTACACATACCATTAAAGGGAGCTTAAAGTTGGCTGGGGAAGAAGGCTCATCACGGACAGAGTAAGGAAGACAGGGATGGAGTAAAGGATGTTAGTGTGTCACAGAGGGAAGGGTATGTGGGAGGAAACGAAGTTTAAACTCAGCCTAGAGCTTGAAAATCACATTGAGGAAGAGGACCCAGGAGCCAGACTTGGCCTCCTGCTTCAGAGCATGGTATGAAACTCGGGTGTTTAAGAGCTTATGGAGTATGACATGTTACAGACGCTACCTCACTGAAATTCCACAGTGGTCTCTTAAGTTGAATTTAAAAAGTATGCCCATTTTACACATTAAAGAGGACACCCTGGACATTAGTTGACTCATGGTGGAACCTGAGTAAAAGTAGTGATCTCAATGCTGGACTTGGCTTCTATAACTCTGGAGAAGAGGACAATTCAGATCTTACAAAGCAAATGGTTTCTGTGCTGACTAGTTACATCTTTTAGAGGCTGTACCTAAATCTGGAGTTAGGAAGACTTTCATTCTTGTGAGAAGGAAATATGTTTTGTGTCTTCATTGCAGTTTTGCAGCTACACTAGTTGGGATTGCAAAATGTTCTAAGAGTAACCCAGTCCTAGGACACTGCAGTTACACAGTTCAGGCTTCATCAAGGAGTGTGTTGGTGACACATTTTCTGGTGACAAGTGTAATTACCATCCTCATTTTACCCAGGCTCAGAAGCTAAGTGATTTAGACAAATTCACTAATGCAGGCAGGAGCCGATCTCAGGCCTCTGTGCTTTTCCTCTGCTCTTTTTTCACCAAGTAACATGCTGAGGGTTGTTTTTCATTTTCAAGTTTTTCATACCAGGATTTGCCATCAGTAAACTGGAACCCAAATGTATTTCAAAGCCACTCCTTGGTAGAGAAGCAAAAATGTCAGGATCAATTCTTGTGCTTATGGTAGATGCTATGGACTATACTCCTCCTGGTCTGAGAAATATTTTGGAAGCAAGTATGTGCTATTAAGCAGTCTTCAAATCCAGGGGTTTGACTGGGAATACTATATTGCCAACTATGTTCTACCTGCCTTTATCTTTACTTCTTATCTAACTCTTCCATTATAGCCATTCTTTGGTGTGATTATGAAGTTAATTCCTAATAAAAGATAATTCTTTGAAGGAGCTGGTACATCACAGGTTGTAAAACTTAGTTCAGTTTTTTAGTAAGAAATATCTTTTAAAATATGAAGGTAGCAGAATAATAATGTTGGGACCTTTAGGAGAACCCAACATTGTCACTGTTTTCTTAGGTGCCTGACACGCCAATAAAAATACTTACATAATTCATTTGTGTATTGATTTCAAGAGATCCAAGATTTAATGAAATAAAAAGTTATTAATAACTAGTGTGTCCTACTGCTATTGAATTTTGAACCATTGTTATTGGCATTAAATACATGAAATATATAATATTGCCCTGATACTTTATTGACTGTGCCTTATTATTGACTGTGCCTTGATATTGACTGTTTCTGTATTTAGAATTTGTTTCACATCAGCTGCTATTGTTGTCTGGGAGGAATTGCAGCTGCATCTTTTTCTCTGAGCTCTGTATTCCTTACGGGTCAGCAAGGCCTACTCTTTGGCTGAGAATTCTTTCCTTCAATGCCTCTAAAAGTCCTAGTGGTGAAATGTTCGATTATATAGATATTAATGACTCCACTGAACCTATTCTTCTCTCATTCAGAAGCTGTACCTAGCATAGATTTTTATTAAACCCTTTCTGCTAAAAATTACAGGCTTACCACTGAGCTGGGAAGCTTAGGCTCAAAAATTCTTCACCTTTATTAATTACATTTCTTCATCCATTTCACTCAGAGGGATTCCTTGACATGAAAATCTTTGCTTACTTCATAAACACAGTCCAGATAAGAGAACTGTGGGGTGTCCAGGGTGACCAGCAAGACTGAGACAGTTGGAAGAAAGGAATTACATGCCACTTGGTGAAAAATAAGCTTGCCATAAAAATTAATATAAGTTGTGCTTGACTTGTGGACATGGTTTATTACAACGTTTGCTTTGTTTGAATACATGCAGCAGCTGATAACTTCACTGGAAACTATAACTGAATTCCTGGTGTAGATGGCATTGGGGGAGATTAGCATCCTGTCTTCTTTCCTGAGAAACTTTGGAAAAGTATTAGAAAGCCCAATTCTTGCCCTAATGCAGGAAACTTAGGAAGTGCCTGCATTTTAAATGTTCATGTCTAAGTTAGCTCATTTAGAATTTAGAGCAGTCAATACAATAAATAATCTGGATTTTTCAGGCTAGCTCCATGTTTTTTAAGCCTCTATTAACAAAAAAGTTATTTTATAACCCTGAGCCTGAGAAGAAATAGGTGATGGGTAAGGATGCTGGGCTAAGGTAGGCGTGGGGTCAGGGGCTGGGACGGGATGGAATTTAGGGATGGAAGAGGGAAGGCAGGAAGTGGCCTTTGGTTGCTGAGGAGCAAAGGCTGGTGGAGACTGAGTATCAGCAGTTTCTGAGAGAAGGCTGGGCAATGGCCTGTGAGCAAGAATAGAGAGCAAGCAGTCAAGACTCCACTGGCAACTCACAGCTTACCTGAACTTAAAATGCTGAGGATTCCATGTGTGACTTCGTCTGTAGGAAAGAGGGACCAGAGGTTAAGAAATAGATTATACATTCCTTAAAACCCATGATAGATGCTTTAAAGAACTACTACAAAATATGCACTCAATTTCAATGTCTAAGAGTTACTTATTCCTCTCTCCCAACCAAATTGCCCACTAACAAATGGACAGAGCAGCTGAGGGAGAGGCCGTGCTGCACGGTGTGAACCTCATAGGCTGTCCGGTCCCAGCTCCCAGCATCTCCATCCATCAGCTGTAATCATGTGGCTGCCATCTTTGATTACCTAAAACACAGTGACCAAAGCTTCAAACATATATTAGCTTCTGAATATATTAACTATTAGTGGTGGTTTTACAAAAAAAAAAAAAATCTCTGCTAGAGTTAAAATCTGAAACTAGACATCTCTTAAAGTCTATTTTATCATTTTAATGTAAACCATGATGGACTGTAGTTTTCAAGAGTACTTTCCTTCTCCAAAAGAAGACATAAGAGTGACTTTAGGGCTCCTCTGAGGACAAGAGAATCATGTAGAAAAGGCTTTCACGGGAGATCAAAGCAGAGCCTACTAATGTTAGCTCTGTGGCCTCACACTATACTGCGGAGGAAAAGGCAAGACTTAAGGACTTGCCACTTTCAGATCTTTCTACTGAGAGAAAGAAATTATGGTGGCTAGAGACAATAGCTACAAAAGTGAAAACAGAGTCTTATAAAGACATGCCTTTATATTACAGACTAAAGAATGGACATTGACATTGTTCTTTATTAACCTGACTTTGCACATTCGTTAAAGTTCCATTCTGACATTAATGCTCAAGATTTGTGCCCGTAAAACTGATGTAGATACTCAGAATGTTGGGTAGAGACTCCTTAAGTTCACTTTTAATTCTTCTGCCTTTATCACTTCAACATACTACAATTTTTATAAACATATTTTAAGCAAGCATCAGAGAAAACTGTGCATTTCTTTAGTAGGCAACCAGTTGCCTTCCAACAAGCAAAACTTCAGCATCAAGAAAGGAAGATTTATAAAGTTAATGAGAAATTCAATTCCAAAAGAAGTGAGTTGTGCCGTCTCCGACATCAGAAAGATGTGAAAGACTGCTAGTGGCTGAAGAATTTCTGTCATTTCTTGCCGTTATACATCACCCACCAGTGCCACCCTCTCAACACCTATTCAGCAAATAGACTTTTCTGCTCTCAGTCTTTTACTCACCCTAAAATGGAAGCTGTCTCCTGTTATACAGCTACAACAGATGACAGGAA